TTCCAGGGGAGGATCTCCAGGGCAGCCAGTGGTGGTTATGATGATAATGAGGGTAGTGATGGTGATGATAAAAGGCTAAAGAGCTTCAAATAGCATGTTCAAATTAACATTACTGAAGCAAAGATTCTAAGGCATCTCAGGCACTCTACAACTTCTTTAGTTGGGTATGTTGAGAATTATGCTAAAAATCAAGAATGTTTTGGAGAGCTTGGCTCAATTTATGGTTTCAGGTGGAAACCACGTAAATCTCTTGTGGTTTTCTGTGGTTTCACATAGTGCTAAAGAAAACTTAGGAGCTTTGACTAAATTTTGCTTTAGTCTTTAAATAAAATTGAATTTGATACTAAATGAGACCCAAAGGGTAATATTTGCATAGCTTAGCTGTGCTAAGTGCCATGAAAATTTATAGAATGGGTGAGGTAAAATGAAAGAAACCTAATAAAGAATCCTTCTCTGGAGGAAAACCAGTTCTTCTTGCACAACTATAATCAGTATTTAAGCAGTCAAGGCTATTCTATCACCATGAAAATGTCAAATTTTATTATTAACAAGGTCCAATATTATGGCTGCAGAATTTGTAGTTCAATTTTTTTGGTATGGGATTACAATTTCAGAATATCAAAATGTTAGATGAATTAACAGCATATTCAATATTTATTTTTTAATGACTGAATCATAATTACAGATCAGACTGTACCACTCACAGTGCCTAAAATAATCATGAAATAAATGTGATTCTTGAAGCTCTTAGCAACCACAAGGCTTCCTGTGCATATGCTCAAGCACAGGAGTAACTGAGAAGTAATTTCATAAAACACATTTGCTGCACTTAAAAGTGTGATACATCTTTTTTGCATTTCACAATATCAGAATTTACTGAGAGGCAGCAACTCTAATTAGAAGAAATATTAGATAACCACATTTACAAGTGTATTTTTAATGCCCCAGGGAAGTGGAAACTGACTCAATTGCAAGGTCTGAATTGGGAGTCCTTGGTTTGAATCCTAGTGAAGCGATGCTAGATGGTGACTCTATAACTGTGCATGGGAATGGGCAATGTAATGGGGAAACAGGAGTTTCCAATCATTCCTGAATCTTTGTTAAAGTATTCTGGATTTTCCTCTGAATCGCTCATTYCTTGGGATGATTAGGCCTATTCTTTCATATTAATCTATTACAAGTGTTACAATTATATCTATGGTTTTCATATTTTTCTTCCATCTTATAGAAAATACAATGAAAATACTTTGTCATAACAATAAAAGACTTTAGTAATCCTTACATTATTAGGATTTGTGACTTGAAAAAGTGAGAGGATGGGATTTGTGCATGGTTTTAGTTATTATTATAATCCATTTTTTATTTCTGATCTATGTTATTTTTAAGCACTGGGCAGAAACATGATTTATTTAGATATGGATTTGATACATCCATCATATTCATATAAAAATGTAAAATTCAAAGGATAGTGAGTCACAAATCGCTGCAGGTAGTGTGATTGCTTTTCGTTTTGTCAATTTAATTCTAGATAATTTTAAAGGAAAATTTCCCACTTCCCCAGAGTTACTTGGAGTGTTTAAGTTATAAATAACCATATTGTTGACACAGTTGCTTTCCTTCTTGTTTTTTATTTTAGATTACATATCATCTAATTTTTAATGTGTGATGTTCATTTGGAAGTGAAATCACATGCCTATGATTATCCACTTAATTGTTCCATTCAATGTTAAATTACCAAAAAAAAACCCTTGAAAGTATTGCTTACGGGAAAGTAATAATTTGTTCTGTATTTACTCTTTTTAACACATTGTCAGTATTTGCTTATCATCTTTTCAAGAGATTGATGCCTTTGGCACACAGCTAGGATTTTCTCAATTATTTCAGGRACATGTAACAATATGCAGCTTACAATTGGAGTTTATTTCATCAAGASAGATCACTTCAAAGTGGCATTGTTGTTATTAAATATTAATATTAATAGCTATTTCTATATAATTAGCAGTAGTATGTGTTTATTATTTCCAAATAACTATTTGTTTGTTGTCCATCTTCAACAGTAACTTCCATTAATTTAAAAYTATAAGAGGAAGCAAGTGTGTTTTATTCTTGGTGATCACTGGTAATTTTACTTTGGAAAAAGAAAGAGGCAGTGGATGAAACTTCTGAGGCTGGAATTGTCAGAGTCTTTTGTTTCTCTATTTTACAATTTCCCTTCTCAAGCAAATCCCTCCTGGCATCTTGTCTTTGTAATCTGTGTTGAGGACAATATTTCAGCATTTCTCTGAAATTGTCCGAATTTGATTGACTACGTAGAGAATAAATATCCTTCTCAAATATCCTCAGTTAATCTGATAAAACTCCTACAAATTTCAGATTTCCCAAATCTTTAATTCAAATATGGTGTAAGGAGAGAATTTTGAACCAAGGTAAAGGAGGGGGGGGGGAAAAGAAAAAGAAAGAAAGAAAGATGTAGTTCTGTGTCTTCTGGTTTGCCTAGCTGGGTGGGCTTAGGGTGCTGTGGTTGGCCATGGTTATGTGCTCCATGGGAATATGAAGAATGAGGAAAGCCTGTTCCTGGAAAGCTGCCACTCACAGACAGCACTAGTAAACACAGGTGGGAGCAGAGCCGCTTTGGACCGTCCTGTAAAAACTTTTAATCACACAGCTCTGGTACTGGTGTTTACCCAGTATGACAAAAGTTGCTTCTCCACCCATATACTTATTAATTACAGATGTGTCATTCAAACCGTGACTGCTGGTTTGGAAATGAGGTTGTCAGTTGTCCTAAGAGAAATGTTTCTTTCTTTCCACAGATTTATTGCTTTCACACTGTTTTGTGTTAAGTTCTGTTTTCTTCATACCTCAGCATAGTTCATTACTCTATTTCACAGTTACTAGCCCATTCAGGGTTTTTTTTTCTTGTTACTATTATTTCTTAGTAGCACATTTCACAGGCAGTATATCATGAGCTGAAGTTTTAAGAAGTATATCACATTTATGGAGGGTGTTTCATGCTTCTTTTCACTTTGTTACACTTAGTTCAAAGAAAACAAATCCACAAAAAATCCGGTCCAGTACATCTGGAATAATAATTAACTTCTGATACTTTTCTTCCTCTTCTCTGCAATTTTCCTTGTCTTGTGAAATACTGGGCTATGAGTATTTTAACACTTGTTGTTGTTTTGTCTCATGAATTGACATGTTTATTCTTTACCAAAATGTTAAACCCATTAGTGAAATGTCAACTGTTAAACTGCGTGGTTATTTTGCTTTAATGCAAAATATGTTGAGGATATACAGAACGTGTATATACTGTCATAGCTACCTAATACATTTTGCTGTGTAGTAAAACCATTTTTCACACTGTTGCAGTGCACCTCATGATTATTACCCAACAGAAGTCCCAAGCACTCAACCAAAATACTATGGGTGGATCTTCTTGCTGTCTCCAGCTACCTAGTTAAACTTCAGTTATAAAGTAGTTGGAGCCATTGTAGCCAGACTTTTCTTGGAAGTGCCCAGCAAAAGATGGGAGGCAAAAGTTGTCCAAAGGAAATTCCAGTTAGATATTAAGAAAATATAATTCTCAGTGAGGCTGGTCAAACATAGCCTAGTTACTCAGAATGTTGATGGAATCTCCATGCTTGAAGATATTCAAAACTCAAGTGGATATGACTCAGAGCAACTTGATCTAAGTTTGGATTTAAACTTTGCAAGCTTATGAGAGATTTGTTTGAAATAGCCACTTATTTCTTTTCATATATTTTAATTGAGTCCAATCAAACTTTGTTTTTGATCAATAAAAGTAAACAGTCATCAGATTGCCATTATTTTAGAATTTATTTGTTAGTAATTATCTCTCATATATTCTCTGTATTCTATTGTATGTTATGTAAATATATTTATATAATTGTTTTTTCATGTGTCATGAATATGATTTTATCTGATGTAAATTCAGCTACTGCAGACTGCCAATTTCTATCCACTTCTTAATACTTGTTTCACACATTTTTCCCTGTATTTCATAAGTATAAAAAAAGATTAATTTGTGAAAATAATCTTAAAGTAATGATGTGGTATACTGCAAGCAAAAAAAACCCTATATCTTTGTGTTACATAACAGACAACTGTTTCATTTCAACTTGGAAACAGAACACAGAAGAAAATTCCCCAACCTCTTTAAGCATCCAATTAGTCATAAATCTATGCAGTTACTGATAAGCTTTTCATTTCACTACAGCCCTGTGAGTGCTCTATGCAGTTAAATAACGCAGAATGATGAGAGGTATTCYTCTCTTCAAAAAGGTTAGGAAGAACAATCTCGTGTTCCAATAGTTTATCTCTTTAAGTTTATTGCTACAGAGGCTTGAACTGATGCCTTACAAATTCTCTTTTGGGTGTATCCATGTTTGTAATGTAAAAGAATGTGCTCAAAGCTAAAAGCAAAAGCACCCTTGGGAAAATATTTGGATTTTTCAAATGTCATAGGCACCACCTTTCATCTGGTAAACACAGAAGCAATGGAGCTTCACATTAGCTCATGCTCGTAAGAAATAAAACTTCTGCAGCAAAAATGTACTTCAGGCATAAATAAAAAAAAAGACATGGAAATGAATGCAACAGACCTTCTAGGCATAGAAGAGTTATAGTAAAACATTTTGCAATTTTTAGAGGTTACTTAATCAAAGTTAGAGACTCAGACATTATAGTACAAGTAAATGTAAAGCAAGTCCAATGGTAGTTATCAAGTCCTCTACGACTTACTGAAATGCATATGCCTTTTCTTAATCCATACCTCAGAGCAGCTGTGCACACTTACAGCAGTTGTGTGTTCTAAAAGGACTGAAAAAAAAATAGGAAATGCAATGAAGATCTCTTGCCTTTACACTGGCACTTGTATGGCTTCCAACATAGAAGAACGACTTCCAACATTTTCAAATAGGAAATGCAGTAAAATCTGACACAAGCAATGTGTTGATATATTTTTTTTTTCTTTACAGATTAAGATGCCTAGTAAAGCAGCTGGAGAAGGGTGACATTAATGTGGTGGACTTGAAAAAGAACATTGAATACGCAGCGTCTGTGCTCGAGGCGGTTTATATCGATGAAACCAGGTAAGGCGAGGGATACGGGCCGGGAGGAAGGGCAGCTGCATTTGGCCTTTGCACATAATTCTGGCTGACATTATTAGCCCTAGGTCCTCGCAAAGCAGGAGAACCRTATGTGCCTTTGTGGCCTCTCAGTGACGAGATTAAAGCAAGAAGATTCTGAAGGTCAAATGTAGCTGCCATCTGGAGAGTCTGCTCAGTTCTTGTCTACCTCGGTGGTCAAACGTGCACASTATAAAGTCATCAGAATTTTTCTGAAGGGTTTTTCCATCCCACCAAGGGCCACATGCTGATGAACATGCTGAGAACTATATCATTGAACAAAATAAGTTGTTTTGAAATTACGTGCTAGTGGAGATGAGTCAGAGTATTAGAATTTGGCCCTTAAATCCAAAAATCAATGACAAGCTATGATTTATTTTCCATTTGAGGTTTTGTTTGTAATTTATTTATGTTTATTGCTACTGGAAGTATTGCAGGCAATAATTTTTGATGTGAAATGGCTACAGTGAAATTACAAGTTCAAAATGTATGACTTCAAGGAATTTTAAGATAGTTAACTTCAATTGTAGTACATAACTAACGAGATCTTTTGAGTTTTTTTTTTTTTTTTTTTTTTTTTTTTTGAATTCACGATAGTGACCTTCATTTTTCCCTCTATGCAGAATGTTCTTCTAAAAATGTCTGGCAAAATGTTTTCAATGTCGTATGAATATGCAGCATATGTCTAGTCTTAGTTCTATATTAAATTCAAGTCTGACACATTAATTATTTCATGGATCTCTCTGTCCCTATCCCTGTCCCTCTCTCCTTGACAATCAACATATTTGATACGGTCCTTAAAGCACTGCTGTCATGTTTCCCTGTTTCCTTTCCTTTCATATTAAGAGTCTCACATCAAGGACTGCCAGTCTATAACTTGAGGTTCTGCTGTGGGGCGATAGCTAGACAAGTAAGAAGGAAAATGAGAATAAATGAAGCAGGTACCTATGTTCCTTTTGCCACAAACTACATTAGAGACTAGGTTGGCAGCATTGCTCATACTGGTGCCCTGCTCTGAGGTTTAACATGTGCAAGTCCCAGGGGATCTGAGTTTGTGATAAAGATGAATTAAAATTAAATAATTTAAATTATTAGTAGTTAATTCAGCCTAAATGCCATTGCTGGTATATATATTTCAGCTTAGTTGACTAGATTTTCTTTTTGTCTTGAAATAAAAGCTGGTGTGCATATTTACATTATTCAATGTGTAGTTAAACTCRTTCAGTTCCTTAGGGAAACTGATATAAAGGTATCATCAATGAACTTGTCTTCGGGCCCCATGTGATAACATAAGTCAGAAAGTCTCAGGTTCCAGCAATGGTTCTAAATATGTATTTTAACATTGTTCAAATTCCCGGGCAGCTTTGGAAAATCTTGGTCCTCTCTTGCCTGTTCTACAGAATACTGTGACACCATCAATGATTAGTGCTTAGGAAGCATTTTTCCTTAAAAATCATGGGGATTTTTAATCAAATGGTATTCAGAGCTGTGAACAGGGGCAATATTCCTTCCATGCACCTCTCAAACATTATGGTTAAATAGTTACATTTTATTAGCTCTTTCTGAGCAGTAGCAGCACAACTGTGGAAATAAATAAAACTGTGATACTGGGGAGTCCACTGCTGTTGGCACCATGTGGGAGAACTGGGACAAAGAAACAGCAATTTCTTCTGCAGGGAGAACTGGGAAAGCTGCAAATATCTGACTTGTGGCAGCAACACATGTGTTCCTGTTAGTGCGAGCAAATCTTAATTGCCCTCAGAGGACAGAACGGCAGGATTATGTAGCTGCCCAAATGAAAATAAACATATATTATTTTACAGTGGTTTGGAAGATTTTCAGAGCCAGCAGGCCACTCTTTAAAGTCCTAGGGGCATTGTGACTTCATAGTGAAGATTTTCCAAAAGTTTAATGAATCAGATTATTTGGAAATAATTTTATAAAGTTTTTGCTCTTCTCTGACTCGATGGTCAACAACATTTAATTTGTTGCATGCTTTTTCTTTCAGAACAATCTGATTTTTTTCACTGTATAAAAAAACTTAAAACTAAGGGCAATGAAGGGAGCAAAGCATGAGTTTCTGATAGAGTGTGTTCAGTAGCACAGCCAGGGATCGAGGGAGAGCCTGCCCTTTTCCACGTTTCTGGAGAATCATTTGTTCTGCTTAGAAATTTCAGGCATTACTCCAGCAAAATCACCTTGCACTTTGTAAGCCTGATTTTTTCAGTTGCCAGCTCCAGCTTCTTAAACTAAATGAGATGGAGATACCCATTTTTTTTTCTCTATATTGTTATTTTGAGCTGACAGGCCTGTATTTTTCTGTAAATTGTGTGTGTTTGTATCAGTATAGGCTTGTATATGAACTGACAGCCCCTTGAAACTTTATTTACAGAGTACAACAGTTATACTGGAAATAGTCTATAGAATTCAAGCATAAAAAGTGTCTTTCTCAGGTTTTATTTTCATTCTGGCTGATCCTCTGTCACCATACAGTATAGCTTTTTTATCTGAAAACAATCATATTTTTTAAAAGCTATGTGTAACATACTAACATGCCATTTCCAAAAATATAACCAATTGGGATGAGGAAAATGCAGAGAAATAATACAACAGATTTTATTTATGGAAACCTAATAGTAGACTCCTTAAAATCTAAGTGGACAGTAAGGCCAGTCTTACTAACTATGAAAAATGGATATGAGACAGTGACTGGCAATATTCCATATTTCACAACAGTGAAATAGGAAGTTTTCGCAGGATGCCCTTTGTCAGCTTCTGAGCTGGTGAAAAGGCAGAAAGCACAGATGGGAGGAAGACCTGTTTTCCTATAARCTTAATCTGTATCCATGTTAGAAGTTCCTATGTTAATAAATCAGCTTCAATAAAAAGTAGTTTTTAAGACTGCTGTATTTCTCAATACTGACTAATTGTGAGCTGCATTAAAAATTTTCTTGAAAGAATAGTAGTGCCTTGGAGGATGAAGCCTATGTTTGTTGTCAGCTGAAAATATTCAGAAAAGTGTTTTGCAACCCTGAGCCCTCCTCAGACCTCCTCAGGGRAAGAGGTTCAAGCTTTGTAGATTTTATAAATAATGCCAACAAATCTTGATGAATTTTCTCTGTTTTTAGGTGATGCTTGGGTCTAGGTCATGAAGGAATGATCTTTGAGTTTATGAAGAAAGATGTCATTTCATTCACAGAATAGTGGGGCAGTTGGTCAATGATGCAATTTATTATAGGGGAATGAGACAAATTTCACACTCAAAAACGTTTTTGTTCCTAATCTAGCAATATCCAAAGGAAAATGAAAGCAGTTTAAGGCTTACACAAGTAGAATGAAATGCCCAATTTGGTATTTATTTGCCGAGAATGTGGACTATATGATTCTTCTGAGATGACTTAATGGAGGAGAGATCACAAGTGAAAATTATTTAAGCCTGAAGTTAAACCACAAACTTAAATATTAATTTTATATTCATGTAATTGCTTGTGATTAACTGGAAGCTCTTAATATGAGGACAATTCTTCTGAGAATGTGCTTTGCTAAATTTCAAGAGGATAATATGTTGACAGATTTGTTTTCTGCTTTAGATGGACCTGTATCTGCTAGAAATGCACCTCAATCATTTTTGGAATTTATTTTTAGTAGAAGTCAAGAGAATTTTTTTGGTGAAAATTAATGGAAATTCTATTGGACTGTAAGGGAGATAAATATGGAATGAATATATTAATTTTAGGAAGATAATGGGACAGTAAAACACAAACAGCAGATAAAAACGTAAATAGGCCATTTGGACTATATATTTTTTAGCATGGTAGACCTAGGAAAGGACTATAATTGATTCGTTTCTAAGTGATTAATTATTAGCTTAATTGACTAAATAGGTAAAGAACTGCCCCTGCCTTCTTTTAACTTTCCTTGATCCCCATACTTCACAGCATCACATTCTTTGGAATCTCTGTTTCTATTAGGAAGTGTGACTGATCAGCACTGAACATTTTATTCCTTCTTATCCATTATCTATTATCATTTTCTTTTCTTTCTTCTCCATAGTACATCTGATGCATTCCTAAGGGAAATGTGTGTCTACCTAATTCATTACCATATTTAAAATCCTGCTTTAAAAGAAAAAAAGAGCTAGAAATGATCACAACTTGCATTTTGAAGGATTATTCTTGGCAAAAAGCACAGTCCTGTGACAAGAAGATCAGTTATAATTTATTCTGACTGCAGTATTGATTGCTAAGCTGAAGTGCCTTGGGCCATATCTTGCATCCTGCCACTACTCTCGATGGGATTTCCACTCACGGAACAAATGGAATTAACTAACCCTGGCCTCCCCTTCTCCTTCCCACATGTCTCTTCCACATGTTGCCTCTCTTTAATAAGTCAAAGATATATAGGAGAAATAATTATATGTGACCTTGAAATTCTGACTTTGTGTTGAGGGGAGAGTGGAGTGGAAGTACCTCAGAACTTACCATTTTGGGGGGGGCATTAATAACCTACACTAGACAAAAACCAACCTGTAACTTCTTATCTATTTTATTGAAAAGTTGTCATTTCTAAGTAGATGTAAATTAAAATACCAGTAATGCAATTCCTCAAGAATAGAAATATAATATTGAACTTCTGGTTATTTTTCCCCAATAACTGCAGTAAGTGTAGAAAGTATCCAAAGCAGTGACTGCTTTGCAGGGGTCAGAGGTGTCTCCACCGCAACTTCACAATCCCTGTGCTCCAGGGCTCTGCTGTTCCTGCTCCAAAGTTCCGAGCAACAGGTGGAACAGGGAGAAGGTCGCGCCCGTTGACCGGGGAGAGCGGCCCTTTGCTTGATGGAGTCAATGAGCTGACTTACACTGATAGAACAGGGTCAACAAATACACTGTGAAATGGTGCAGGAGAAGAAGGACAAGATTGCCCTCAAAACTAACAGTGGCCCATCAAAATCAAAAACTGATGCTCACAGGGTGAAAAGGAAAATTTCAGATACTCTATCGTAAGTATAGTTCTGGTTGGTGTGTACCTATACTGATAATATTTATACTGAAGAGATATTTCTCTAAATTACATTTAGTAATCTTTTTATATGCATGTTTTGAAAATAATCAGTTAAATCACTGATGAAAACAGTTTAACATTTTTATGCTTTGGGGTATAAATTCACTTTATCTGTGTTATTTTACAGACATATTTTGCTGAATACAGACGAGTTATGTAACATATTCATGCACAGAAACAAGTATAATTGAAATATTTTTAATCTAAGTATAAGCAGATAACTAAAATATTCAAAAGTTACATCATGAAAGTTAATAATATCCTATTTTTTTGTAGCAATTTGTGGAAAATTAAGCATAGTTTATGTAGTGCAATATATAGCCTAATTTATTTCCCCTTCTAAATAGAATTACTGTCAAATTACAGATCCATCTAACTATCCAGCTGTTTATATCCGTATGAGCCTTGTCACTGTAATGACTAAATGATGGCAGAGATCAGTGAGTTTATTCAAAGGCCGTTTTTAGCAGCACGTATACCATGAGTAATTTCCCGTAATAGGAATCTGTTTCTCCAAAAGGTTAGGAAAGCACATAAAATAGTCACCAGATAAAGGACTYGCCCTCGTTTTCTCTCTGTAAATTTTCTTTCAGTTGGGCTTCTGAAAGAACCTAATTCTTCTGGAAAAGTTATTAAGGGATTCCTGATCAAGGGATCTGTAACAGCTCATACTTGAAAAGGATCATACTTAAAGAGTAATTCTGTGGTATAATTGTTGCTTTCCTAGTTAGCTGAATAAGAACTGGAGACASTTAGTCTCTCTCCTTCTCTCACATAAACATTATTTGGCTATTGGAGAGGAGTGGTCTTATTCCTGTAGTGTGAAGCTCAGAGCAGGAAACTGAACAAAGGGAAGAATTTTGGTTAAATAAAATTCTGTTTTCCTGTTTCTGCCTTCATAAAGGTGTGTGAACTGTAATATGCAGACTGAATAGTCTTCCTGCTTTAGAGATGAATGATTAAAAAGATTAGAGAAAGCACAGTGTACCTTGCAAGCCTTGGATGTGGAATATCCTTGGAGCGTGCTGGTGCATGGCTTGATGTCCATACTGCTTCTTTCACTGCAATAATTTCATCTTACTTTGAGTAACAATTTGGAGGGTAATAAAAATGTTTGCAAGACTGTAAGTTTTATTCTTGAATTTTACAACAATTACATCAAAGGCCAAATATTCCTCAGAAATATAAACATACTGMTCTCCCCAAGGATGTTTTATAACAATGTTAGGCTAGTAGGGATTTAAGTAAAGTATAACAAGTTTTTAATTCAGGAAATAAAATCAAGGTATGGCCTTTGGCCTAGGGCCGGTGTCAGCTGTAGTTCAACTCTGCAAGGTACTTGCCAGAATTGTTGCTTCTACACAAATCGTGTTCCTGTAAACTAACTGTTTGCTAACTGTTGGCCAGTGTCCCACTGCTCCAAAAGTCTTGYGATTTTTGACCAGTGTGCTCCTTTTCCACTCTGCATTAAAGATACTTATGCAATCTTATGTTCCTGAAAAACAGGAGAAAACCTACTGTCCTTTCAGGAAACAGTGATGGTTTTGGAGATGTTCTGTGGCGTTTATGTTTTGTGGGCTTTATTTTTTTTATTTATTTGTTTTTAAACTCCAGTTGACAAATCTCACAAAATATCTTGCCAGGCAGATGAGCTGCTGAAACTGAGAACAGGTCACACAAATACTTTAATAACCATTCACAAACAATTTGAATGGCAATGCTGTCATCGTATTTTATAATAGGCATTTTCCTCTAGTCCCTAGRAAGTGTTATATTCTTGTGGGCATTCCTTTGCACTAAAACATATTCAGGTTTTTTTCATCACCCATGTTTCTACTCGCTTCGTCTGTATGCTAGGGAAGAGCAAGATTTTGGAATTGGTGATGAAGAGAAGCAAGAAAAGGACAAAGGAGTGAAAGGTGATGAATAAATAAGGAGTAAGTGCACAAGTAGTAACAAGAATTAAAAGTTATTTTAGAAGACAGAAAAGACAGCAGAGATGACCACATGAAAACTGAAAGGGAAGAGAGAATTTTTTCTCTCCCACTGCAAATGGTGTTAACCCAATTCCTACCAAGCATATTTCCCAGGAATCCTGTTCATTCAGGAGAAGATATTTCAATCTCACAATTAGATTGCCTTATAAGCAAATCATGATSTTTTCTTATTTGAATATATAAGAGATTTTGTTCTAGGGGTTAAAAATAAAATAATAATTTGAGTGATACGAACAAATAATTGCTAGAAATTTCCTTCAGATTTTCTAACTCATTAATTACACTTCAATCCTCCAAAGTGGTAACAACCTTGTGGAATACTCTCTCATTTGCCTTTGCTTGAATATCTTGCATTGGAATATTTTTTAGCTTCTGGAATGTGAACAGGGCAAGAAGTGGAAGAAGTGGAGAAAATGATAATTTTTTTTTTTTCTGAAGTGGAGAAAATGATAAATTGTTTTCTCTATTGGAGAAAATGATAAATTAACTGTCCATTCTGCCATTTTTCAATTACCTTCTACTTGCAGAAAGCTTTTGGACACTGAGGATGAGCTGTCTGACATCCAGTCAGATTCAGTGCCTCTGGAAGTGCGGGACTGGTTAGCTTCTACGTTCACCAGGAAAATGGGGATGGTGAAGAGGAGACCGGAAGAAAAGCCCAAATTCCGGAGCATTGTACACGCTGTACAGGCAGGAATTTTTGTAGAAAGGTGAGAGCTGTGGCTTTTTTTGTTATAATAAACAGAACATCTAAATGTAGTTTCTCTCTGTTAAAGATACTTTTAGTGCTAGGCTAAGCCTAAAGCAAATCTTTGAGATGGAATTCGGGTTTCAATTCTACAATTTCTTTCCTCTACATTTGAATCAAATCTTCTGTTTTTTAGTAACTTAGGGCCAAATTTATAGTTTGTAAATTTCTACAATGAAAAAGCATCAAATACTGCAGTAACATTAATAATACCAGTAGAAGGGGTTTTCTCACAAAGATTATAAAAAGACTTACATCATCCTTGGGATCAGACCTTAAGTGGTTTAATAKTATTTCACAGACTATTGAAGAAGAATGAAAAAAAGATGAATTGTTCCACTAATTTTTAAAAGAATGCTATTACTTAATATCTTATTCATTCTTTTAGGATGTACCGAAGAACTTCTAACATGGTTGGTTTGGCTTATCCAGCAGAAGTGATAGTAACATTTAAGGTGAAATAAGTTTAACCATTGTGAAATTTGAATGTATATGTAGTGGCTATTAGGGTGGATGAAATGTGTGTATTTTGATGCTGAACATACCCTAGTGATCTTTAATAGTATAGGACTAAGTCAACAGAGAAATGTAGAGGTTAAAAATTCACAAAAAAAGGCGTCTGATTCTGTTTATTGTTTCCCTGATTATTTCTGATTCCATTTAGAAGGTATTAGAGCATTATGATAAAATTTGAATAGCAATTTTTATTAAAATATGAGATTCGTGGTTATATCAGCTCCCACTGGTATGGTAATCAGTGTCTTGGAGAGCTGTGTTTGCTTCCTTTTTAGGAAAGAAAGGAGTAGTAGCATTGGGACAGAGCTAACAAAAGAAGCTGAAGTTTATGGACCAGATACCAGATACCAGATTACTTGCTGTAAATCAATCTAGTTCACCCCAAAGACAATCTCTTATAACAGTGAAGTTCCTCTGGCTAGAGTATGTAATTTAAAAAGTGATATTTCTTGAAGAGAGGGGGGGGGAAAAAAAAGGTAGTCACCTTTTCTCCTAAAATCAGGCATTGCTGTGTTATTTGCAGGTTCTTATACAGGTAATAAGATTGCGTGATAGCCTGTTAAAAGGCAAGTATTCACAGTAGCTCCACTGGGTTCAGTAGAAACTTTATGCACTGAAAGTTTCATTTGAAAGACTAAGGCCTAGCTTTGAAGCATGCCAAGTTGTATAGCTCATGTCACAAGTATTTTTATAATTTCTATGGAATAAMTGTAAAAGCATAAATGTATTGCCTATACTGACAGTCTGAGAAACTTAAATGACAAACAAACAAGCAAAACAACCCCAARAGGTGGAAATCTACTTTAGTTTGTGGAAACTCTGTTCTTTTCCTCTTCCTCTCATCTACAGGATGTTGATAAATGGTCTTTTGATGTGTTTGCCCTAAATGAAGCAAGCGGAGAGCACAGTCTGAAATTTATGATGTATGAACTGTTTACCCGATACGACCTTTTGAGCCGTTTCAAGGTCAGAAAGTAGTCAGAAATAAAAATATGTATGCAGAAATAAGTATGTCAGATTTAAAATATTAGAAAGCCTTAATATATTTGAAATGATATTTTATTGTACAGTGGAGCATGGAATTGAACCCTGGATTACAGTTTGTTGCCCCAAACTTTGTGACAGTTTCAGCTGAACCTTCCTCTCCTAACCAACTTTGGTGACCTATCCAGAGAAGATGGTTTTGCAGCACTGTGTGCAGGGTGTCCCAATATGATATGGAGTGTTTATAATCTGCTTTGAAAGGCTACATTAAAAAATGGACCCAAGTGCCAAATTTATCATTATAATAGCACTGAACGAAAGTTTCATTAGAATTGCAAAAGCTTTCCAAGGCAAAACTCTATGCCTCATTGGAAAAGCTGAGCTCTGCCTGAGCAATTTGACTTTACCTGGTAACAAGACTTCAGCTTTTCCCATGAATGACATGATTGCTTGAAGCCAGAATTACATCAGAGCTACGTTAACATCGATCAGAAAGTCAGCAATGTCACTGGCTCAGTGGGCTTAAGCCCTCTCTCGCTGTTTAGCCTTCAGGTAAATAAATAGTGAAGAAAAAACATCTTAAGAAAAGTTTAATTTAATTAAATGGAAAAAAGTTATGGCTAGACAGTGCCTTTATTTTATATTGTGTGGAGGAATTGAAGGAGAACTATCAGGATCAAGGAAATCTTGGTTCAGGAATGTAAAGACAACACAGAAAAATAAATAACTCCCAAAATAGACTCCTATCTGTCCTACCTCCATTATATAAGCAACATATGCAACTTACAAGAATTAGAAGAAGATTCCTTGATGCAGATTATAGAGCTTTAGGTTTTAAATTGCTTTGGTTTTGCTCTGCTGAAACTAAACTATATTGTGTATTAATTTGTATTTTTTTAATTGTCTGATTGACTTGGCAGCTGCTACTGGAAAAAAAAAAAAMAAAAAAACTGTACTCTAATTTTTTCTTCCCCTAGATCCCTGTTCCAAATCTTATTTCATTTGCTGAAGCACTTGAGGTTGGTTACAGCAAATTCAAAAATCCATATCACAATTTGATCCACGCAGCTGATGTTACTCAAACTGTGCATTACATCCTGATTCACACTGGTATCATGGTAAGAAACATAACAAATTCTTTTCTTGGATTCTCTGCTCTTTTGGGTGAATGTATATATGCGTCCCTTCTTATACTCTCTTGAAAATTATTCAGATAGGAATTCTGATCAAACTAGCATTCAGGCTCTAAATTTTGTCATCATAACAGTTCTTCCAGCTTAAAAATCTCCAAGATTTTTTKGGGAAAAAATCTTCCACACATCCTTCTGGCTTTTCACTCTCTGGGTTTGGGAGTATCGTATGAAAAGCAATACATATGCAGGAGTGGGCAGGTGAGAATTTTGCCTTCCACATGGGTGCCTGAGAGGTGCGATCAGGCAAGGAAACGTCGTATCTGCTGAGGGCTGGGCCACTGAATCCTTGCAGACYTGTGCAAGAGCTCTGCAGCTGCTTTTCCTTCAACACAGTAACACCCTTAGGGCTGCCCTAGCACCCTGCCCAGCTGCCTTTTCTTGTAGCAGACAGGAGCCTGCAATATCYAAACAGCTTTGAAACTGAGGCCAGCATCTTGAAACACCTTTGTCTTAAACACTTCCGTGTAATCCCAGCATTGGGTGTCATCTGATTTACTTTTGATTTTCTTAGACAAAAGGTAAACCTGACTCTGAGAAAATGCATGATTCTGCCAATGGCTTTTGGAAGAGTTCAGTTTTCTCTATAAATGCACTTCTATATATATGTGTGTGTTTGTGTCTATGTATATTGTGTTTGATTTGTATTTGTGAAGCACTGAAACAGTGAACAAGGAAATTAGTGTTTGAAAGAAGTGATATTGATTCAGCAGCTTGTAAAGCATTTCTGTCCTGAATTTCACTTCTAGTTTGAGATCTCATCAGTATAGTGCACAAATAATCTATTTAATTTTTGGCGTTTTTTTCCCCCCTTGTGTAGCTAGCTAACTTCAGTCTTACAGACCCTTACTCAGTAACAATTTGAAGCTGGGTTCTCAAGCTAATTGTATTCAGATTATGTCTGTTTTAACAGCTCTTTTAACTCTGCTATATCTTCTAAAATGTACTTGGAATGAGTCACTTGCCTTTGACGTAATTCTGTATCAAATGCCTGTGAGAGTTTTGCAGATTGACATATGATTTGAAGTTCTTGTGCTTTTATTGTGTCTTAAGGAGCTGATATTCATTCCCCAACCTCACAAAGACCTGCTATCTTTCTTGTACGCTTCTGAAAGATGTACTGAAGCAAATGCTTCCAAAAGCTAAGCTTTAGACAGTCCTTTACATGATTTCTGTTCTTGAAGCCATACATTTTTTTTTATCTTTTACAGATGCTGGAAAAACAGCCATATGTCAGTATTTGCCAAAATGTTTAGCTGGTCAGAGCTTGTGCTTCTCTTTAAGTTTATGGAGAAGACTTCAGTGAAGAATAACTTGCATATTCATATCCATATCTCATTTCTCATATTTCTCYCATCTATCGAGATAAAATGATCATTATATTTTTCAAAAGGTATTGGCTGTCCCTCTGGAAAAGAAAAGGAAGGTTCAACCATCTCAGATCAATGTGTTAGAAAGTCAGCTCATATATGGCAATCTATTAACCTCACCATCACCATGTGATTAAACCACAGATGATACAAATGAAATGTATCTCACACATTTATGAAGTGTTCAACTTTGTAAGGTTTAAGAACCCAATTCCCAGGGAACATATCTTGCTAAGAACTTTTGAGTCATCGATCATCTTCCCACCATCCTTTTTCTCTTCCCACACACCTGTATTGCTCAAATTAGGTGAAAAAAAGTCTGCATTGTGAGATTCCATTTCTTATTCATTTTTTACTCCACTATTGTTTAAAAAAATAGTTCCAACAAGAGCTCAAGAAAAGTTGAAATACGATCTTTTTACTTAGAAACAATTTACAACACACCAAAGCACCTCTGAACAGGAGAGATCTTTTCCAATAGGTGTTACACCTGAATAGTGCAATATTTTCAACCTAGAAAGTAAATCCCAGCCATTTGGAGTCTATCAGATCTCCACATACTGTGGTCTACGTTTCCTCTTCCCTTTGAAAAAAACATCTTCTAACTCTTCCTCCACGTGCTGCCTCCTGCTTCTTGAGAAATCTTTTAGCTGAAGCTATTCTCTGATTCACTGAACTGAATTTTGATTGTACCACTACAGTATCTAACAAAACTTGCTCTCACTCAAGACCGAGAGAAGATTCGCTGTAGCCCTTAGCTATCGTCTGTCAGGAACTGTCTTCTAATTATAGATGTACTGTCTAGCAACTCTTTTGAGTTGCTAAAAAAGCTGATTTCTGAAAAGGCGGCTTAAAGACAGTGTTTATGTTTAGATTTAGTTACTAATAATTTCTGGGTTTCTATTCCACTGGTATGCTGAAAACATTGTGAAAGTCAGTACTAGTTCATGGCCTGGTTTCTTATGACACACAATACTATGAAGGTCATCGTTTCTATTTTTGGAACTGCTTACAGTACTTTCTCATTCCTTAGTTGTGCCCTTTTAAAATCTATACAGCTTCACCAACCAGTCAGAACTTTTTGTTCCTCTGCAGTCTTATTTTGTCTTTTAATGACCTATTTTGTTGTTCTCACACTATTTATGAATCTTGACTGGCTCCTTTAATMTTCTTTGAAAAGACTGTACTGCTTATGACAGCTTATACATCTTATATGATATGACCCACACAGCATTTACATGCGTGTGCATATATGGGTGCATAAGGATAAAGATAATTTTTCTACCACTATTCTTAAATGGATTAAATTTTCTCCTAAAAGTTGATTTATCATTCAGGAAAAGAGAAAAGTAAAACAACAAAGGTGTTTACAAACAGAGCAACAGAAGAGATTCAGTTAGTAAGAGGTGTGAAACTTTGAGTGATTATTATTTTGTATAGAAGATGATCTATACTAACTTGTACTCTGTGTAATTGCATAGCACCTTTATGCACTATATATGCYTTACAGTGCACACTATAGCATAACTTAGTACAGAAAACCTTCCTGTTGGCCTGATTTAAATATTATAACACTTTTAAAATTTAGTCATAGMCAGTAAAGTAGTGCACTACATATTTGTAGTTCACTGAAAGACAAATTAAAAGCTTAAAACTTTGCATCAAGTTTTTAGATAAATTTGCCATAGTTTTTCAATGCCATTATAGACTAGCAGATTATCTACTTCCTACTCAAAGCTCCTAAATAGCTTTGTAGTTGTTAGTAACTTCTTGTATTTTTGAACAGTCATATTTACTTTGCTTGTAATCATAAGGGCTTTCCCTTTTTCTTACAGAAATCATAATATGCATAAGCATACGGTGTAATATTTAAGTTTTGTGGCTATATTTTTTCACCTGGAATAGTAAAAGAATAAGGTTTATTTAAGGGAAAGGTAGCACAAAACATTTTAATTACTGCAGTCTTTAATCTAATAGGTTCTTACAGAAAGTAGGACTGAGATTTGTTTTTTGTTTATTAGCACTGGCTAAGATTTGTTTTTTGTTTATTAGCACTGGCTCACAGAACTGGAAATTTTGGCAATGATCTTTGCAGCTGCCGTCCATGATTATGAACATACTGGGACCACAAACAATTTTCATATTCAGACAAGGTAAGTAAAGAGTATCACACCTGAAGCTAGCTGCTCATTTGTCTGAAATGTTTTATACTTCTTATACCTCTAGTGAATAGCTAGATGACTATTTTATAAATAGTTTCCCTGACCTCTGTAAATTCAATGAGATCTCTGTAAATTTGCAAAAATAATGGATACATATATGTATTCATTTTCAGCTGTATTTTCAAGTATTTTCAGCTCATCAGAAGAAAATCACAGACCAGTCCTTTGGTGGGTGATACGCTGTGTGCCTGATACTTAACCCAGTGCAACACATGTTGTTCTCTCTCAATTTAGCTGTGTTTTTTTCATAGTATCCTCAGCTAAATATTCAGCTTTACCTGCCTTTTCTCAGCATTTTTCAGCAAAGCCACTAGCATGTTATTACAAAAAAGCTCTAAGCAAGGATGTAAATCATTATGGATTGCAAGAAATACTGCTTGGCATTAAAATGAATAGAAGTATCTTCCTGCTTACCTAGAAAGACTAGTGTTTGAGGGCTGCATTTAGATTAATTTAAATTCATTACATACTTGTGCATTGGGATATGCCCTTCAGCGATGAACAAATTCTAGATCCACAGCTGAAATAAAGGCATAAGCCTCTTCTCCAGCATAGTCTGGACAAAAATAAACTTCAGATTGTAGTTCCAAGTTTATATTCCTGTTCTATTTTTGTCTGTAATATTTTTGCTCTGAAGTATTGCAAAAGTGGAAAATGAATTAAGCAGTTACACTTTGACTTCTACATGTACGCACTTGCCAACAGGTATTTGTTTTGATCCAACTCATTCTTCTCTCCTAGTGGCATTTGACCCTCCCATGACATCCCCATGCCACGCTTCCAAGTGTCTTTTGCCTCGGAGAAGCCGATGAAATAGCCCTCACAGCCATGTCAAATCTCAGCAGTGATTAAAACCAGACACGATTAGTTCTGCGGGTCAAAGACTGCCTAAGTGATTGGCAGATCACAGATTTTCCCATGATGTTACTAAGATTATTGACATAAACATACTGATTATTTCAGTAGGATATACTTTATTCCTTTAAGTAAACTTTCCAATACAGTTTTAATTTTTTGGATTCCTTGGCACCATACCATGTATGTGAAGGATTACAGTGGATATTTACTATGCTCACCAAACCAAAGGGGGTTGGTTTTAGCTCCTTAACATCATGGCAAACTGAGCTGCTAAATCATCACACCTGTCTTGTAGTACAGATCTGTCAGGCGCCTCCGGTCCACATGGAAATACTCAGAAACAGTTTCAGCTGAGCAGAGACTAGCAGGAAGGGGAAACTTAAGGTTGCTTATCAAGGTAGATGACAGGATGAAATAAAGTCCAGGAGACTTTTTAAAGCTTGAGGATGAGTGTTATAAATTCATATGCATCAATGTGTGTGAAAACCTGTATGTAACTCCAGTAATTGTAGTAAAGAAGCCCAAGGCTCTCCACATAAACTTTCTCATAGTCATATTACAAAAATACAATCTTATACATTTAGAATTATACCTGTCCTCCGAACAATACATACAGTGACTATGATGACAAATTTTCGTAGCTGTAGGTAGAAACTTTATATGTTCTGTAGGAATAAATAAAATTACTTGGATATATAATCAAGAATATGCATTCCTAATTTCTCCTACGCCATTGTGAACAATCCTTTGCAAAAGGTGTGTTTTTTTTTTTTTTCTTTTTTTATAATCTAGGTCAGATGTTGCAATATTGTACAATGATCGTTCTGTTCTTGAAAATCATCATGTGAGTGCTGCTTATAGGCTCATGCAAGAAGAAGAGATGAACATCCTCACAAATTTAAACAAAGATGACTGGAGGTAAGACCTACTGTGACATTCAAGCATGATTCCAGTATGCAAAAATTACAAAGTTCAAATTACAAGGGAAATCTCCTATAAAAAGGAGTTACAGATGTGTAGAACTTAAGGAAAGATGCTGCAAAGAACTGCTTTATGGGAGGCTCCATGCAGTTTGCTAAATGAGTTGTTTATTGGTGAGCCATGAGATGTGGTCTTGGTTGAGATAGGTCTGTAGTGCAAGCTTTTGAGATTATTTCAGGTTATTTCTGCTCTGTGACACAACACAGTATAGTTGCATCTTAGCTTAGCATTAAAAAGTAAATTATCAAGTAAATGCTCAGCTACACTAAAGAAATATTTTGTTTTCCTTCCTATGTTTTTCATGTAATTCTTAAAGAAAATTTGAGTATCCAAGAGAACCAGGGTCATAACTGACATGTCACAAATATCAAATTCCARAAGATCAAAGTGTTAAAACTATAACTTTCTCCAATATTAAGAAAGGTATTTTGTCTTTGTTTTAAACAGCTCACAGACCAGTACTTAAGTTTTAAGACTTCTGTGTATTTCTGTAAATATGACCATAATTCAGAGATCCCTGAAATAACTTTTAAATAACTGGACTTTAAAGTCAGATAATATGTTCTGTATCCAGGAAAATATGCTGCTGTCAGTGATACCACTTCAAATAATAAACCTAATTTATTTGTATTTTTGTACAACTATATATTTATGAAGGAATATGTGAGTTTAAGAGCAAATTTTGGCCTGATGTATTTTAAAAATGAAGGATTTTTTACATGGTAGACCTACATTATTTTACTGCTTTCATGATCATATGTTTAATATAAAAGTATGCTTTTTATTTTCTATAATGTGGGAGAGGAATCAGACACTTTTCCCATCTTCTCAGAGGATAATCATTTGTATTTAGTTACCATAAAGTTATAATTGTAAATTTAGTTCTGCAGAACAATCTCTGGAAATAGATTGTAGACTTCTCTTACATAGTCACATCTTCATTGCCAACATGAGTCACTGTTGTTCTGATGGAATTCCCTTGGGGCTCATAGAGTAGTTTGGTCTCTGCGACCCTTTTTTTAGCCACTGAGTATAAAGAAAGTGTCTGTGCCATTAGACAGCCATTGGAGGCTATTTTTTGTTGTTGTTGTTGTTTTTTGTTTTTGAGAATTCTCATTGTGTAGAGGTAAGAATTTGCAGTGGACTGGAACAGAATAGAGAGAGGCATGCTATAGATTATTTACGTTTTTGTGAAATGCTCTTCTCTGTACAGAGCACTTGATCTTCTTGCAGTTTTGGACCCTTTTGCTCTCACTGCTTCTGATGCTTTTTTGTTTAATTTCTAGTTTTTGGCCTGACCATGAACTAACATGTTCTTTCAGGAGATTTTCAATCCAGATGTTTGTCTCCTTTTCACTTTYCTCTCAACTGTAATTCAACCTGAGTTTCCTGGAGTAACTTATTTTAGTTTTGTTTGTATAAASTGGTTGCACAGGTGCCATCAGCTCATATACCTTTGCAGTCTGTTTAAGGTCAGTAGGATTCAGGAACCAGAGAAAGTAGCATTTCTGGCCCTCCGYAGGGCTATCCAATACACTTGAGAAGAGACATATGAAACCTGGTTAATAAGCTCAAACAACTAAGCTAGGACTTTCAGYCACATGTCTATAACTTCAATAGGAACTCACAGTATGGCCTTTGAAACAAACTTGTAACTTCCAAAGTGCCAGTCCGAGCATCCATAAAATCTGTGGAACTGTCATATGTTACCTAATTTAGCGGATCAGTTTTGAACATTATGGTCCTTTGATATTCATTTATAATATTCAGAAATATTCCTCTTACCCTATCAACAGGTGCAATTCTTCATCAGTGCAACAACTAATATATTAGCTGCTTGAAAGAAACTTTTAAAATTTCAAGTTTTTACTAGAGTGAACTTCATGAATTCATGCTATTAGACTAACAGTTTTGAAGTTTGCACTGAAGGAAATTGGCAGTAAATTGAAATGATAATTTGTTCCACTTTTTAATGTAACTCCTTGCACTGATTAATTTCTTAACTATCGTCAGATCTATTTTCTTGAATTGCAATGATTATGTTTTTGAAAAAAATTAATACCCTTGCCTATTTAAACTGAGGTACTGCTAATTATTTCAGCAACATAAAGCAAAGTGAATGAGAGTGCTTTATAGTATAACATTTTCCTTTCTACATCTTAATGTTAAGAACATAAATGYGCTAATAAACTGTCAGGTTCAATTAAGTCTAAATCATAGGGTTTGGCCTTGAGCAGGGAAAGGCTGCCAGCACTCTGGTGAGGACATCCTTTGTGAATGGCATTTGTGGCATTCACGGTCATTTCTAACTCTTCATTCCTCCCAAAATATTCTCTTTTTTCTCCTCAGCTACCCAGCTAATGAGGCAGGGGTCCTCCTATCTCCCCCTTTCTGCAGACCTCTGCTGTTTTTGTACCTCTGTGTTATGCCAGCAATTACAGGTGGAAAGATAGAGTTAAGATCCTCAACCATGCCACTCATGGGGCATATGTTAATCTATTGCTAGATTATATAAAAAGAGTAACAAAATAATATGCATTATATCTCATTATATCTACCATAAGTGGCTTCTCTTTCACACCTTTGCTTGGGAGTCTCCTGTCTGGGGAAGGCAGAATTGCTCTAACTTGTGAGAAGATTCTTAAGTCTTGGCTTCCAACTTGCTYCTGCTCAGCCTGCCTTGTTCCTAGGTTCTTGCTAACATAAACATTAGCATCCAGGTTACTAAATATGTTTGTCATGGATTAATCCAGGCCAAGCTGGTTTCAGGTTATTGGTTAACTATTTTCTTGAAAAATTCATGTGCTGCTCCTTTTCTGGGGTTTATCACAGGTTATTTGTGTTCTTTCTCATTATCTTGCATCCAACTACTTGTTTACAGTGTCCTACCCAAGCACTTATGGATATGTAAAGGCTAAGAAAGAAAGAGAGAACAGGACATGACTGCTGGCTTAGAAATGGAGTTTGCATGCACAAGACCAGTATTTCAATTATATTTGAACCTGAAATAATTTGTGTGGTGTACATGAAGGCTGTTATATTTCTTATTCCAGAAGTTAGGTGACAAGAACTACATCTAATTTGCCTTGCTTGTATTAGCAGGCTAGCTGTATTATCCTGTGTACTAATTAATGAAATGGGCAGTGATTTCTCTTCAGGAGTTGTCTCTGAGACCAGCTGAGGTCATCTTTGATCCTGAAGTTCAGAGGGTCTCTTGTCCCTGAGAAATATTTTGAGAGTGATTTGGGTTTGGAAGTGGTCTTCCATATAGGGAAGATAGACTGAATTTTCCTATGCCTAGGAAAGCTCTAGTTTCCCTGTCAGTTCTGGACTTTCCAGCTCTCTGTGGCTGATCGAAGGGCAGGTATGTGGCTCCAAATCTTGCCAAGTGTGTGAAGAGAGGAGTGCTGCTTTGTTGGATCCCCGCTTTGGGGATGACAGTTCAGAATTTGGGTTTGTCACCTGCTTTGACAATGGGAATCCACTACGAGTAGTACTTTGCTTCTATGCCTTTTAAGTAATAGGAGAGGGATTATTTCTGATAATTCTTAAAGTTGAGACCTGAAAAGTTCCTAGGAGAGGGTGTTGTAGAAAAGGGGAGTGGTAATTATTTTCAATTTTAAAATCAACCAGATTTAATAATGTGGAGCCCTTGTTTTTTGTGCAGTGTCTAGCTGTCATTTATTTTTATTTTTAATGGTTTTGGCTATGTTTAAAGAGTTTCAAAGCAATGTGGAGGAGGAACAGTTGGGATGTAAATTAATTAGTATCTCATTATAAGGTGAGTTAAGGTAAGGCATTTTCTAAGCCCAAGTTGCTATGGCTGCTTATTACTTTTTGAGTAGAAGTGAGAGAGAGGGCTGAGTCTTTATCCTGCTGTATCAAAATAAATCAAGAATAAATAAATGAGAATCAATGAGGGCTATCAACTTAAATATGCAATTAATTTTACTTACAAGGACTCTTGATAGTTTTTATAATAAATCACTGTAACAGCCCTAAAGAAAACTTACTTTAAAACACATTTATTTGAGAAAATGCTATGCTAAATACATCATAGATAGGGTAAAAATATGAGCTATCAGTGAGAAATCCTAAAACATGTTTCTACTTTTGTATTTGATACTATGACTAATAGTAAACAAGCATTATCAGTGCTTTGCTGTATAATACCAGATCTTGGTGTTTTAAGGAAAGCATCCTCAAGCCTGGAGGCACACTCCTGAAGATATGAGCTACATAGAGGTTTAATGTGGCTGGTTTCCCCTCACCACCAACACCTGGAAGCAACCCTCTTGACATGAGAGATGTTTTACTATTTTCATATTCATTTAATAGAAAACTAATGGACAAGMATCATCTTTGACCATAATATCAAGATACAGATAAGCTGTGAATCTTGAACTTGTTCTGGCTCATGTAATAGACAATAAGGACTTCTTGAGGTCAAGAGAGCTTGACATGATATTCATAATATTGACATAATATTCACAGCATTTCAAACATTCCTAAGTGTCTCCACACTTGCCTCCTCACTGGGCTTAGTGCTGTGCCTGCTTTTCACCTGGATGAGAACAGTAATATGAAACATTAATATGTCCTCTTGTATGGTGGTGGGGTGAGACACGATTATTTTTATTTCTTTTGGTTACTCTAATGATGGGRAAAAAAAAGGAAATAATGATAGGACTGATGATAGAACAACATGTTATTATAGTTTATACACTAGAAAAGAAGATTTGCAAAACAGCGTAACTGAAATAATCGCAGCATGGATTTTTTGCTTCCACAGAATCCCTTTAGGATGCAACATTGAAGTTGTTAATAATTTATTTTAAAGCATTTTAAAATGCAATAGAAAACATGGATTGTTATAAATTAACAAGTGCTACTTAAACAAATGTTCTGTACGTAGAATAAATGAATTGTAATGAGTCATTTTGCATTTAATTRTTCTTAGGGAGTTGCGGAGCTTGGTCATTGAGATGGTTTTGTCTACAGATATGTCGGGTCATTTTCAGCAAATTAAAACGATGCGACATACTCTGCAGCAGACAGAGGGGTAGGTTATTTTCCATTCTGCTCTTTATCTGTTGTCTGTAAATGCGTTCATGTCAAAGAAACGATGTTAACTAGTTGCTTTTGTTCCAAGATAATTGGATCATGTCCTTGATTTGACAGGATAGACAAAGCCAAAGCCATGTCTTTGATTCTACATGCAGCAGATATAAGCCATCCAGCAAAGTCCTGGAAACTGCACTACCGGTGGACCATGGCCTTGATGGAAGAGTTTTTTCGACAGGTGCCATTTTAAAAATCTTTCAGTAAATCTAGTTGAAGAAACCCTAGTGACACAATCAAAATCTGCCTCTAACTTTACCAGCAAGGGTGCTGGAGGTTGTGATTGACTAACCTTGTTGCTAGTACATATTACTTGCTCTTAATGCCGCTGACGTTAATTCAATTCTTGTGTGAGTGAGTAAGATGAAAATGTTATCGCTGCATATCTATTTCAGGTGATACAAGATTCTAGGTGTTGTAAGGTTTTTTTCTTTCAATAATGTTATAACTTGTCAAGCTGTTTTCACTCTGTAGACAGAGATTTATATCTATAGAGAGAGAAAGTTAAAAAGAAACGTGGATAAGATAGGATGAGGAACTGGGAACTAGCAATAATTTGTGTTAGAAAAGGCAAAAATGTATTCATCTCGCATTTCAGAAAATTTTCTCTCCATTTTTTTTTCCCTGCCATCGTTGCCATGAACATGGCATGTATTTATGAAGATTTTGCTGTTGTAACAGCTAATCTTTGGATTCCCAATGCTTCTGGGAATGATCCTGTTGGCAAGTCCTGCTGGGACTGCTGCCATTTGCAGACTCACCTGGGCAGTGGGTACCCTGCAATGAACACCTGCATTTRGGCTCCCTGGGCACTTAGCACTCATGTCAGCCGGGAGGGTGTTTTTGCTTTTCTGTTCTCTTGCAACGCTGCTGAAAGCACTTGCATTTTTTTTTTCTCTCAGTTTCTCAGCATATAATCATCTTGGACAAAGCATTTCTTTGTTATGAAAACTGATTAAAATATTTCAGAATATTTCAGAATATTTCAGAATATTTAAGGTTGGAAGGGACCTCTACAGATCATCTAGTCCAACCTTCCTGCTCAAGCAGGCACACCTAGAGCATGTGGCACAGGGTGGCATCCAGGCGGGTTTTGAAGACCTCCAGAGAAGGAGACTCCACAACCTCCCTGGGCAGCCTGTATACAGTTCAAATGGTAAAGTGAAAGTCAGGACATTTTAAAGTGTCCTGAAGTAAACAGCTGAGCTCCCAAATCATCAGCATACATATAGAAATAACCATGTCATGATAAAATCAGAAACTACAGTCTATGAGCAAATTACTCCTGTGAGGTTTTTACTACTTCTGTTGTCTAGGAATTAGGAATTATTTGATATGAGAGAAATACTATGTTGTCATTTTATGGTTCTTTTAGCTCTCTGATGCAGGAAACAAAATCGCTAATATAGCAATACACATACAAAAGACTCTATATTAAAATAGCAAAATGGAAACTTTAGTGTTGTGGTCAGTTTTAAAAAACTATGACATTGATTTCTGCTGGCTGTGAAGTTATTCTTTCAGAAAATAAAACAATAATAAAAAAGCAATAGCAAAAATTGAGGGACACGTGTAATTTAGTATTTCTGTTCAATTCAAATGTTATGTACCAGGATTTAATAATCTTCCCTTTTTTAAAACTGAGCACTATTTTTAGTAGTAAATGTAAAAATGTTTAATATGGATAATTGAACAGATCAGAGTAATAAAACAATAAGTAGGTTAAAGCACTAGATTGTTCAGCTCATCTGCCCTGGAAGTTTCTTRCTCTGTTCCTAGAGATTCTGGATATGGAGCATTTGGATATGCTCAGCTCCAGCATCTGCCCTGGGGAGACTGAGTGGAGATCTGGTGCCTTAATCTAAATGATGAATAGACTAAATTTTGTGGAAATACTGAGTAGAGTCATGAGTTTGTGTCTGYTCCTGTAAATGGAAATGATGAGGATTTTTAACCTAAGAGGAGAAGGAGAACCTGATTAGCCCAGATATATTTTACTTGAAAAGGTCAGAAATGACCAACAGTGAAAGCATTTTAGAGACAGAGTAGACAGAGCCCATGAGACAGAGAGGCAACGCATCCAGGCAAGCAACTTGGCATTGGCAAGAAGCAGTACCACACAGCCTTGGTCTTTCGGCACATTAGATCAGCTAATGTTTTAGTTATTCCTTTATTCTTACCTTATAAAAAATAACAAGATCACAAAYAAACTGCTCAAATGCTTGAACTGGCATTTAATAATGCAAACAAGCCACCAAACATGTTTTCTGTTACTCAGTGGCGCACAATGTGAAAGTCTATCAGACTGTGGAAGAACATGCAAAGCATTTAATGTATCTTTATATGTAGTGCTGAGATGAGCAGGATATATGGAGCAGTTCCAACAAACATATGCTGCAACAGAATAGTTACATGTATATAAGTGACCTGAGTGGTACATACACAGAAGCTCTTTTGCTTCCTAGACGCACTGACTTGGTTATGATCTGTTGATCTGAGTGCATATGATGGGTATCTCTGGGATTTCCAGATTGATGTCAGCCAAAATGGGGTGATGCAAGCTTATATAAAACCCAATAAATCCACCTTTATTTATTTATTCTCAGCATTTACCCTGTTTTTACAGCCTTAAAGGAAAAGGCAGTAGAGTTTGGAACAGACAGTCGCAAAATAGTGTTTTAACATTCAGCTTTCAAAGTAGTGGGCACTAGCAAAAAAGGAGCATTCACCTAGTCATGCAAGCTTGTTAGCTGTAGCTAACGATCAAAATATGCATCAGTGTCAACTTCAGTGAAAAAGCCAAACAACACTGTAAGTTAAAACAACAACTACACCAAATGTGTTACAATGCCAAGGAAAATCTGAGATACTTATTTAAAATAGAAACACACCCACCCATCTCAAAAATTTAAAAATATAGAAAGACACAGTTCAAGTCACTCAAGCAAGTACCACAGTTCCTCAAATATTATGCTGTCTATATAAGTAGTCCAGTAGCAAAAAAGAGAATTTGTTCAGTGAGCTGGTCAGCTGGGAAAAGAATTTATTTTTTTACTGTCTTTATCTTGATTTTAAATCTCACGAGACTCTAATGACCAATTTAAATCTCAACACTGTCCTCATTATTAGAATTTATGATAGGCCTGATTTTATGTGACATATTTTTTATTCTGTCTTCAGCAACAGAGAGATAGTCCTGTTAGTAAGAGGGAATCAGATCATGCCTTTTTACCTGTGTAAATACACAGAAGAAATTTTATATGTTATATAAACCAATGTAATGAAAGGAAACATTTAGTCCATGTAATAATATTACAGACATCATCCAGTCTCATAACATCAATGTGTCCTGTCTCATCATGTCAAAGACTTGCAGGTCTAAGCTGTAAATACTGAAAGACTATTTATGAAATGTCATTTTTTTTTCTTTGGAAAATGTTAAAGGTTAATGGCAGATGCCTTGCTTGTGAGGAGCACTTGTTTCCAACAATTTCCTTTACCTAAAATTGTTAATTGTAAGTTAGAATATTGTCTTTGCTTTTTGCAAGAATTTAAAGACAAATAACTTTCTGTTATCTGCAACTTGTTTTTATTTAGAATAAGTGAATGAAATAATTTGTTGAATAAATACATTCATATTCATTTGTCTATCTGATAATTCAGTATATGCTTATAATATTAAAYATTGTTGTTTCCAGGGAGACAAAGAGGCTGCTTTAGGGCTTCCATTTTCCCCACTCTGTGACCGCAAGTCCACTTTGGTAGCTCAGTCCCAAATAGGTAATGACAAATATTGTTTTTCTTCTTCTTGTATGTTTAGGARCATAAAGAAACTGTGGCCCTTTCTTGGACCCATTTTACTTTTTAAATGCTCTGAATATCATCTTGTACAATGTATTCCTTGCAGSTATTTGTTGGGTGAACTCCTATGTCCTGAAAGAGCAACTCACTGGTTTCAAAAGAATATCRAGTTGTTTTGGCATATATGATCAAAGGAGGGGTAGAAGAGGGTTTACCAAAGTACTAGTCCATCTTTTACTGCACACACTTCCAAGTTTTGTAGCTCATGTCCTCAGACAGGTTGACCTTGCTTTGGAGGCCAAAGGCATGTCCCTGCTGCCATTCAGAGGTCTGGTAACACTTTGCAGCTGCATCTCAGCTGTGAATCAACTGGTGGTATCAGCCCTTCAGCTTCCAAACCCTCAGTCAGAGACCAAGACAAAAGGACTTCAATTTGTATTGAAGTGGTCTGCCTCTATGGCCTTCCTCTATTGGAAGCTAATTAAGACAGCAGACTGCTGTTAAGACTAGCATTGTGGCACAGTGGAGCAGCACAGGGCTGGAGCAGCCTCCTTGGGTTGACAAGGACCACTGTCCTGTTCCTACAGACCAACACTGGCCAAACTTCAGTTTCAGGTTTTCAGAAATGCAGATCTTGGTTCACTCTACACCAGTTTGAACTGTCAGATCAGCTGTAGGAAACAGAGAAAACAGGAAGTGATGAAGTTAATTGGGGGTGGTTACAAGGATATGCCCTGGAAGCTTACAGAGTAATACAGCATGTCCTGTTAATAGCTGCTCCTTTTATGTGAGACATCTCAATACTGCTGAAGAGCTTCTACTGGTGCAAATGTATTAGCTTTGAAAGGGAGCATGTCATCCTGTCTGATCTTGTCACTCAAAATGTCCTTTCTTCCATTTCACCGAGACATGAAACGTAGCATGCTGAGGGTTACCCCTACTGCAAGTGTGAAGCTGGGTGCACGGCCCGAACTCTGCAGCTCGCCTTGGGTCGGTGTTATGTYGTCAGGGTGTGAAGACACCTGGAAATCCATTGCTAGCTCTTTATCTTTCTTTTTTTTTTTTTTTTCCTTTTTAATCTATTTTGTTTCTGTGAAATGCTCAGCAGAGAATAAAGCTTCGTCCTTTCATTATGTCATTCCTTACCTTGACGAGCACTTTAAAATGTAAAAGACATTGTTCAGAGCTGACATCTCAGCACTGTGGGATGAATGCTGTCTCCCAGGGATATTACTTGTTCTCTTCACTGATTTGACAGAACACTCCTACACACTGTGAAATAACACTTTACCTCCACAGAATAATAAACAGCAGTTTGAAATATTAACTCTTTGGCAAGAGGCTCCGAATGGTAACAGAGGCAGTAGGACTTCTAGCCCTTTGGCTCTACTGTAGCTTCCATCCATTCAGTAATTCATATTAATATAATTCAGACTTAATATATGTTCTATACTGCATAAAATTCACATGAAATAGGCATGAAAAGCTATAATTTCTAGCATTTACTTATGTGCATACAACTTCAGGTGGGTTTTTTTATTTATTTTTATTTTGTTCGCTTTCTTTCCACAAGATTGTTCTAATGGTAACTAGTTTATTGAATAAAGCCTACAGTGAGAAAACCTGCCTTTTGTCAAATTTTTTAGATTTGAGAGCTGGGAAAATATAAAATCTGATTTTCTTTTTTCTCATTTTGCTCCTCAGGTTTCATTGATTTCATAGTAGAACCAACATTTTCTCTTCTTACGGATTCAATGGAGAAAATTGTTATTCCTCTTATAGGGGAAGCTTCAAAATCTGAAAGTCCTGCATTTGGGACACTCAGGTATGAACACAATGCGTGTTTTTTGAACCGAATGCTGTCATTCTCAGCAGTGCCCTAACTGAGGTTGGAGAAACAGATGATAAGCTATACAGTATTGCCACCTGCTGGTGCCAGCTACTATTTGCTGCTCTGGTAGTGGCCATGGATGGCCATGGAAGGATGCTAAGGCTTATCCTTCAACTGCTCACTGGTGCACATTAGAGATGAGCAGCTCCAGGCTTAATTTTCTGTTTACACTCATAAATGAGTGGTACATGAGCATTCCATTAGCATCTCTGGAGTGCAGGGATGTTATAATGAATCTTCTTGTACAATCCACACTGAAATTTTGACTGCAACTATATTTCTTATGASAGGGCTGAAGGAAATCCATTTGTATATGTATGGATATGTCTTTAGTGCCAAGCAGATAAACTGTGCAGCTTGATGTAGTAAATAAAACCTGTGTGAAATGATTACCTATACAAGACCAAAAATAGATATGATTAATTTATTCCTTTGAATAAAAAGATCTTTTATTTATTTATTTATTTATTTTATTTTTCCACACGTTTACATTTACATAAAGGAAAGCAATTTTACCTGCAGTTTACCTTACTTAGCTGCAGTAACCGTTAAGTGGTAGATAACACTTTTTTTTTTCTTATTCAAGTTAATTAAATTGTAGTCCTTCACTATTTTAATTCTCCAATATTAATTTGGAGGGTTGGCTTTTTAAGGTCATACTAAGTGTTGCTTTGACTATACTTGAAGTGTTATGCTAAGAATTTTCAGCTGAAGTAAAATTTACATGTGACAATACATCTTGTCATGTGGGTCAGCAAATAATAATGTGATATCCCTCCTGCAAGTCCCAAAAGATACCATTTGCTGTTGGGAAAATTAGCTAAGAAGCTACTCTAAACTGATTACGTAAACATTACTTAAGAACCAGTCTGCAACGATGCATCATCTGCTRTCAGGGCTTTTTAATAATTTCCTAGAAAAAGGTTAGTAAGGATCAATCACRGGTTACAGCTTCGTGAACTGAAAAAATGTGTAATATCTTGGGTGTTCTTTGGTGAAGACTGTTATTTCTTGTTAGTGATTTACATGTAGGCCCTAAAGAATTTGATACAAATTAAATGTTTATGTATTATTAAAATTGCCCTACTGTGTTAATAATTTAGGATTTTCTTCCTTCTATAGCCAGAATAGTTTGGGAGCAGTAAGCAATCTTGAAGCACAGAGACGACCTGGTATTAAAAGTGCAAGTGATGGAGCGACTTACATAGAAAATTCTCTAGCAACTGTAGACCTAACAAGCTTTAAGGACAACTTGATGCAGATCATTCAATCAAACAAAGAAAGATGGAAGGAATTAGCAATACAAGGTATGATATACTAAGAAGGAATGTTTTATACATTGCTTAACCTTCCTTACAATTTCCTCAAGTTTTATTTCTAAATTTTCCTTAACCCACAAAAATATAAAGTCTCTTATTCCTATATTTTGTTTCATACTGTTTATTTAGGTGGCCATATTTTGCTGTCCCAGGTGCAAGAAAATGTAAGTGGACAGGGGATGAGTATAAATCTTACAGCCTGTAAAATATGGCCCTGTGCTGCTCAATTTTCAGACATCTCTTTTAGACGCTTACAGTTTGGCAAATTTAATTGTAACTGATACTGACATCTGCTTTAAATGCCAAAATCAACAATTCAAAGTATTACATGTTGCAAGATTTCTTAAAAAAAAATGTGGAAGTTATATTTTGTTATTAAAATGCTATTTATTCTTTACCGTACAGCATAATATTAAATATCATAGGYTTCTTGGGAACATATTGCAAGCAGTTTTTTAAATCACCTCATGGATCTAATGATTTGGGTAATCACAGCATGTGCTAGAACCAAGGAAGGCAAAAAGTGACTGTTCAGTTGCCAGTTGATCGTTAATAAAGCCAAACCTGGATGAAGCACCTTAGCTCATGAGCTGTCTCTGGAAATTGGTGGGGGTTACCATTATTTTTGTGCAATGATTTGCAATAACTTTTGTGTGGATATTGATCCTGGTTAATCAACTGGGATCATAGAGAACGTTGTGTCCACACAGTCTGCCTTGTTCCTGAGTGAGCACCTGGCATGTTTTGGGATGGCGTTTCTGCACTTGGCCATGATCTGGTTGCATGGACTGGTACCCTGGAAGCCAGTGCCAGGCTTGTTTTCCCTCGCATAAAATTTAAAGCAGTATCTTTTTCGAGGATCTGTCTGATAACATGGAAGAAACTCTGCTGACCAGTKCTAAAATCTCATTGAGCGCTGGAGTTATAATTAATGTTCTCTATAGAGAATAGTAAATAAGAAAAAGCTTTGGTGAACATATTGAAACAGTGACTTGAGAGCTAGGCAGAAAGGACAGCTGAAGAGGAGGTTTAAATTGTTTTGCCACTCTGAAAGAAAAGTTTCATGAGATCAGTTGTTTCTAACACTAGCTTGTCAAAAAGACAGGGCTGCTAATTTGGGATGATCAGTAGTAATAGCATAAGATCAGGGTACCAAAGAGCCTTTAGCTACAACCTACTGAATTAACCACTATTGGTCTAGCTATGTAAGAGGTCCTTCAACACTGAAGATGGAGACAATGTTATCTGGAAGCTTGTTGCTTCCACTTGTAGCTATTACTAATGAAYCAGTTTGGTTTGGGGGGATCCAGAGGGACATAGTGTGGAGATGCTTAGGGTGTGCAGTCAGTCTCTGGAAGGGTCTTGAGAATAGTGCACATATTTTTGATTACAGAGTTCTGGTTTTGTTATATATACATATTGAACATTATTTTTTCTTTGTAAAATCTCATGGATATTGTATAGGTTTTGAGAAAGTTATTTTCCATTCATTTTTCAGAAACAATTAATACTTTTTAGCTCCATATATGGGCCTGAAGGGATGCTGGAAAAGGAGTTTGCACTTAGTCAGTGTAGTTCTCCATAGGGTGCAATGCGATATAGCATGTACATTTTTTTTTGCTACACTGTGCAAACAGAAATATGTCYAATTAGTCCAGACAGACAATACATCTGCTCTAAGCTGCATGTCGTAAAGAGTGAAAATCCTTAAACAGAATTCAAAATTAATAAGTATCTATTAAAGAATAGAGACTTTGAAATGCATACTGTTTCCACCCTAAATGCCTTTCAGCTCACACTCAGGTTTGACTTAGTTTGACTTAAACCTGTAAGTTAAACCTGTAAGTTAAACCTGAGACTTTGTACCTTTGTACCTGAGACAATTTTATTTTCTATCCTATTGGGGGGCATGCTTTTTCATGCCTTTTGTTTTTAGTGTATCATTTACGACCTGTTTGTATCTCACATTGCTGTTTCTGATTCAGTTTGCTGAAAGTTTGTAGGTTGCTCTAGATATATGCAGAGTAGTAGAGTATTTTTTGCACATGAGTATGTACATGTAATAAGGAGAAAAATTACTGTGGGGGTAAATCACTGCCAGGTATGCAGAGTGTTGGTATTGCTATTCATAGCTAGATAATTTATTGCAAAAGAGCTGAATGCACTTAGAAGGTCATGTGTGTTATGAGCGTCTGCCATAGCAGCGAGCTGCTGGTGCAGACCTCCATCATGAGGTGACAAACAGTACTCCTGTTTCTAAAAAAAAGCTCTGCTTTTGTGTCTGCAGGCCCTGTGCATATTAGATGTTGTTCCCAGACTGCCAGATAAGTTCACAGACTTAGGAGCAACTGTGTTATAAAGGATAGCAATGCAGATGCACAAGTGTGCAAGTGCAGAGGACTCTAACAACAATCCTGATCATTTTCTGAGTAGAACTCACACTTGTTCCAGCTTCTTGCCTTGTGAGGATACCACAGTGTGGTTAGCCGTGCCTGGGATGCAGCTCCGCTGCAGCGAGGTGGGCTTGGCTACATGGTCTGGCTCACGTGTCCAGACAGCCCTGAGCAGGAAACCAGGACATGCGCAGTGCTGTTGATGAGGGAGCTTTCCTGGAGGTGTAACGGGACCCTTCTGTGAAAAGACAGTTACTATTGAGAGTGTTGATCCAGAGCAAACAGCTTGAGCAAGGAACCAAGCGCTTTATCTTGGAAAGAGCTGTGCTAGTAGGGAAAGCATTTACATACCTAGGCAGCTGCTCCAGAGCTTCCGTAACAGAAGGCTTGCTAAATTAGATGACTCCATTTTGCTAAAAAGGCCATGTCTTGTATAATTGATGCAGAGGAGCTCAGTGCTCTATAGCCTAAGGGTCCACAACCTTTCACCACTGGAGAATTAGTGGAATGTTTCTAAGGCCTTTCAGGGAATGCTGGTAACAGGGAATTACCATAATGATCAAACATCTGGGATTCTAATTTGAAAGCCTTGATGTTTAATTAATATTCCAAACCCCTAATCACCAGCTAATCTGTCTTTGTTCAATTCAACACAGTGATAAAGAGASCATTCCACCCTGTGCTTTTTTTCAACATAGCGGCGATGGCAGCTGATATTTGCAATGGTGATAGTTGTAGCAAATTGACAGTAAAGACGCTCAGATGAGTTGGAGAGGTTATTTCATTAGAGAAAATGATTGCTAAATTGATTTTAAGGTCTGGGAATTAGTGACCTCCTGAGACAGCTGTAACAAGTTGCTGAGAAAGATTTAAATATTGTGTAAGGCCCTTCATATGATACAACTCTACTCAGAAGAGGGAGAAATTGCAAGACAGTGGCTTATATTATAAAAATGTAAATCACAAACCTTTKTGTTTATACTTTCATGTTTATTCTGTTCTATAAATAATGTTTTAAAGGTTTACTAATAGGCTTGGAAACTCAGATACTCTCAACATAGCAAATGGGCATATAGTAGTAATCACGCTTACCATCTGTTAAGAACAATTAAGTTAAGAGCAGACCATCAGCCTTCTTCTGATTAAACTGTAAATCTTCATTTGCCAGTTTAAGCTTGGGAGGGAAGGCAGGTGATATTAAGCTAATGGATGTACAGAGGTAAGTGCAATAAGAGATACTGATAGTTATCAATATCCTTATTTTGATAGTTATCAAATCCTATCCGTATTTGAGCAAAATTAGGCATGGGCAGTTTAGCACACCACAGGTCATATAGCAAAAGGGGATGCAGAACAGAGACTAAAGGTCCAGTTGCCAATGGGATGAGCTCTTCACTAAAGCCTGCTAAAGCTGTTCACCTCCAGGGTGAACACTGCTACTCAGTGTCTCAGGCTTAGGCTTAAGCATACTTACTCTCTTGAATAATTTGAATAATTCACTGTTATGGGAGTTGAAAACTAAGCTACATTGTTTGTATGGAAAATTTCTTCCTTAGTGTCTTTGCCAGTGCTCTGTACTGCTCAAACCTCAGTTTCTGACTGCTTCAGAACAGGGCTGAATAAAACATGTGAGGCTGCATGAATCTCTCGCATCATCCTGTGCCTAATTCTCATAATAAAAATACGAAAAGCAAACTACAGAATCGCAGGGAGCAGCTTTCTTTGGATCGACAATGACTGAAWAACAAATCCCTCTTTGGGACTCGGAGGCCGCCTCAAGCGCTTTCAKCCCTGAATACTTCCAGCCACAGTTACCACGGAGCTCGGCTCCATTTGGCCTGAAAGATTCTCTCTGCTGACTCCCTGATCAGAAGAGAGTAACAGCTGCTAAAATATAAAACTCTTGGGGTGATGATTGAATCCCAAGTCAGTGTGGTTTAGAAGCCGTTCGAAAGGATGCACATGGAACCTCACCATCGGTTTGACACAGGACAGCAACACTCACAGGTCTCTTTAATCTGTTGGAGGGAAATAAAATGCTAAGAGCAGAAWTTTCAACAATGGCCTAAGAAAAGAAAAGGAAGAGGAGTGGTTTGAGCTAAGAGTAGCAAGAGATATTTTGCTTTTGCACTGAGTGGTACGTTCCAGGCCAAGGCCAAATAATGCGGCCTGGTACTAGAAGCAAATCCTTTGGAAGGTGTGACCATCAGAAGTGATGAGCTAGGTGATCTAAAACACCTTTTCCCCTGTAGCTCAGAGCAGCATGTCCTTACCTTCCATGTTCTCATGCTTGCAGCACTCATGACCTCCAGTTTACAACTCAATTGCAAAGGAAAAGTAAAAGATGGGTTAGGCCTCATGGAAATAAGAAATATACAAATTATTTTTATCCAATATTTTAGTAACATGTTTTGAAAGCTAATTAAGTCTTCATTATATTCACAGTGTACTATTAAGCTGTAACACTAAGAGCCACTGGTTTACATGGTTGTTTTATATGCTGTTATGTTCTGTGATGAAATTCGTTTGAAGAGTTGAAAGGGGAAAGTGCCAGTACAAAAATAACACTGTAGGTTACTGCAGTGTATTCGGGAG